CATCATCTTCCAAAAGAAAATAATGCTGGCACACATCATGATACACCATGAAGAAACGTATCTTGTTCTATGGCTTCAGGTTTTGTTTCTTCATATGAACGAGATGGGAAAAAATAAGAAAAGTTATCCAAGAATAATAACTAGTGCCATTATTTCTACACTTTGCATATATTGCCAAACAGAAAATAAAGCTTGATGCCTTGCTTGACATACAGCTCAAAATCTGATAGATTTTGGTTCTCCTTTAAGTCAACATAACAGAGAAAACCCATCTGCATCATCAGTCACAAAATAAGGGCAATGACCAGTGCCTGTGTCCTAAGGTTCATGTGTAGCTATAACGAGCTCACATTGTAACATGCTTAGCATAGTACCAGGCACTAGCACTGGTTGATACTGATTGGCTGGCTGAAAGACTGATTGGTTAACTGAATGATTAAAAAAACTGAATGATTAAAAAAAAAAAAAAGCAGACGGAAATCCAAGTGACTGCATTCAAACAGGGGCTTAGAAAATCAATGTATAGCCAGAGAAAACACCAGATAAGATTGCAGAGAAGCCCTTACCCATCGATTTATAATTCAAGAGCTTGAGTAAATACCTGCTCTTCAGTAGAACTATACCTGACATATCACATCGAGATCAAGCTGTGTGAAGCACCATGTTTGGCTGGAATGACTATAGTTAGCCATTAGGGAAGACAGCTGACGAGCAGTCAATACTCAGAACACAGCCCTTTGAAATGCACCCAACATTTCAGAAAAGCACGTAGTTTACAGACCCACTGTGACCTGGAGTATCTAGCTCTCATAACTGACCAAGTGGATGCCATGGCCTATATGGGAGGGGGGAAATGTATTTTCAGGCCTTCATGCATGTTTTTCAATGTTCGAAAGTACACAAAAGCCAAAATGTACATTTTAGTCACAGTGGGAAAGTGGGTCTCAGCCACCAGGACCAGCGGCCCTGGTGTGAGAGAGTCTAGCCTTGGAAACCTTAAGTAAATGACCTTTGTTAGTTGTCAGGGCATCTAGACCATGAAGTATTAAGATGTTTAGAGCCTCCATAGCCTTTCCTTGCTGCTCCCTGAACACTGTGCTCTGAGGGCCTGAGTGTGAATGGATGTCCTTTTTACTCTTTGAACCCTCACCTTCCATTTTTGGTGTTCCACTTTTGACTGATTTTAAGGGAAAAAGCAGGAATGTAGCATAAGATACTTGAACATGAGGTTGGAGAGATGGCTCAGCGGTTAAGAGCACTGGCTGCTCTTCCAGACCGGGGTTCAGTTCCCAGCACCCACATGGCAGCTCAAAACTGTCTGTAACTCCAGTTCTAAGGAATCCAACACCCTCACACAGACATACATGCAGGCAAAACACTAATTTACTTAAAATTAAAATAAATACATTTAAAAAAAATACTTGCGGATGTGTGATGTGTGTGATAAAAGTACCCCAACAGAAACCCATGGGCTCTTTGTCCACCATAGCACCATTCTCAAGCTGGAGAATGAGGCCTGTGATGTAGGGTTTGTTGTTAATCCACATCATCAACACACACTGAGTTTCTAATATTTTTCTGGTTGAACTACAAATTAGCCACATTTTACAAAGACGTTCTGAGGGTATTAGTATCTTTTAGAAATCAGTATGGGCTTAAGTGGTAACCTTCTCCCTGAAAAACGAAGAGGGCGGCAAAGTAAAACAACACAGGCGTAGGCTGGGGTGACACAGTGAGTGAAAAAATAAATTAAAAATAAAAATAAAAAAAAAACAAAAAATAAAAAATAAAATCAAAGAAATAATCAGAGCATGTATAAAACAAATACACTTCAACCAAAGAGTCCCATCTATAAGAAGGAAGTACTTGAGACACACTTGTTCACTGTGTCTGAATCTATACTACGTAAGTGCTACATGTAGCTAGAAGGTAAGAGAAAGCAGTCATTTTCTCTGACTACACTTCTGTCTCACAAAGACAGACATACACATTTTCCACGCAGCCCTCAGGGTTTGCAAAGTGGCTTTATAGTATCGTATCTTTACTTGACTCAGCACTAAACTGGAATATGCCCACAATAGTTTTTTCACCTTTATCAATCATTACTAATAATCCATGCCACCAAACACCTCTTCTTCCTGCCACCGTGGCCAGCGTCTCCCCACCTGTTCTCAGCACCGTGGTTATGATCAATACACGCTGGGCACAGCAGGTCAGGAAATGACATATTGTATTTATAGCATTTTTGCCTCAAGGTCTCAGGGTCAACCCTCCAGCCGCATATCTAAGCCTAAGTGTTCGGGCAATGAAGTCATTAAAAACCTATCATCCTTCAGCAATGTGATTTTATAAATGCTACAGCACATTGCTCTAGATGCTGAATTGCCAAGCACTGATCATGCTATCACAGCGCAACCAGAAACTGCAAGAGAATGATGACCCAGAAACAGCAAACGGAGGCTCAGTGGCTTTAGGCTGCCAGGAAGGCTTTATGGTTACAGACAACCGACTTTCAGCCACACAACGATAATGTCAAGTCGTAGTTAAAGGAGATTCCTTGGCTTGCTTTGGCATCTTCGGGCACATTTAAAGGACAGGACTCATCAGGTGGGGCAACCATACCACCAATTACCAGACTGTATTTTACAACTTAGACCAAAAATGAAGGCCAGTTGTACTTTGCAAAATTCAGACTGTTAAACCAGGATGTGCAGGAAAAATACTGGCACCCTTGGGAACCCTGGAGAGCCATGACCGGTCTTTCACACCTAAGGGCGTGCTTGCATCCCCCAAGTGGCCGATCCAAGTCAAGGCCCAAAGGTACGCTTTGCATTTCCTACTGCAACAGTATGGCTGTCCCCGTGTGACTTTCCCATAGCACCCGGTGACAACTTACTCTCCAGAAAGCCAGTGATACACGTAAACATGACATCAGACTTTTTGTAAGTAAACCAATACAATTAAGCGGTGCGTTCAACCCGTGCGTTTCTTTTTCTATTTTCTGGATTTATTTTGGGAAGGAAGAAAAAAATGATGCTGTTTTGAAGATGCTAAACTATTGGATCTTGTGCCTGTGCAGGCTGTCACGGACACACAAACAGGGGCCCTTATCTTGCTATATAACATGAAGCAGCCCAATGCTTCAACACTCTAACTAATTGCGAGCCACAACTGCCAAGGCTACAATTCCCGGTGTGGGTTTCATATAGCTACACGTACAGAGTCCTTGTACTTGAACATTAGGATTGCTGACAAAGAGCTAAATAAAGCTGCACTCCTGGTACCTTAGAAAGAACTCACATTCTATTTTCAGTACAAACCAAGCAACTACATTCTGTGACTATATAATGCGCCTTCATTTTTGATAGTCTGACTGCCTTTCCGGCTGAAATGAGAAAATGCTGATTTTTCTCCCCTGCTTATCTTCTCAAACCCGATCTACTTCATCTTAATCAGGCTGGTGTTTCATTACCTTCATCAGAGAGTATTTAGCAGAGCGTCTGTGAGACACTCTGCAGGTAAAACTCAGTTTAAAAACAAGCCCAATTGTGGAATAATTTGAGAATTACTGCAACTCAAATCCTTTAGTTTCCAACAGTCTTATAATGAAGTGGCATTACCCAAAATTGCTGGCACATGAGAAGAGGCTTAGGAACCCAGCACTCGGCAAGCTAACAGGTGTTGGAATCCCAAAGAAAGAGGAGGAATATTAGGTAATCACTCTGTAGCTATAATACCCAGAATTCTAATCAACTTAACCACAGCTCAAAATGATCCTCGATACCGTTTCTTTGACTATAACATCAGCTAACAACAACAACAACAAAATACAGTTCCTTTCTTTCCATTAAACGTTCTCTAACTAACCTGCTTAGACAAGATTTTTCTAAGTTGGGTTATACAACTTAATCAGGTGGATAGTTTCCCACTTATCAACATAGCATGTCCCCAAGACAAATAACATCAGCACGTGTATGGTTTCCTTAACTGATCACCTGTAACCCTGAAAAAACACACACACACACACAAAAACCGCGTGTTTTCCTTCTCTCACAATAGTAGATACCATTTCTACTACTTCCCTAAAAGTGCTCACTATCACATTTTAAATTCTATTCTTCGTGTCTGCCACAAACTATCGTGAAATGATCTGCTGGCTTGGGGGCACTGAAAAGGAGTGGTACCCACAACTTGAGCAGTTCCCTATGCAGCACCCCAATGCCCTTGGCAACTGCCTCTGAGTCCTTCCCAGCACAGTAAACACTGATGCAAGCACTGCTTAGGTACCTGCCTCCGGGAGGGCTTTGGATGGATGGCTCTCTTGCATAAAAGCGCAAGGCATTTTCCACTAGCCTAAAGCTTGAACACAGTATCTTCCAAACACAATAGCAACGGTGTCTTTCGTTGCCAAGTACCTTCTCGACAAGGTATTGGTCCAGCTAACAGCCCTGGGTACTCTTTTTTTTCCAACATGCAGTTCCAGGTTCAGATTCAAAACCCAAAGGAACTTCAGAAACCACTTCTAAACGTGTGGACCACAAGCGTCAGAATGAGCTGACTTTTCTGAAATTTGTTTTAAATTTAAAAAAAAAAAAAAATCTCTTATTTGCTCCTAACACTTCCTATCCTATTCTGTAAGGAATTAACCGTGAAACACGAAAGTCCTGGGGGAATTTTGTTTCCCTCTTTTCCTCCTAAAATCATCAAAGGCAAAGGAGAGAGGAGGGAGAAAAGAGGAGAGAGATACCCCAGCAGGTTGGGTATGGCTCTGCCCTCCCCTCAACTTGGTCAGGACAGATCAGGTGGTGTCGAGGGCTCTCCCCTGCAGCCCGGCGCGCGGCCCGAAGTTTGCTGCGGGTGCCGGGCGCGCGGGGCTCCGGGAGGCCGTGGCGGTGAGTGGCATCAGGGACAGCCTCGCAGGGCGTCCGGTGCATCCCCGCGGCGGGCCGACCCCAAGCTCCGGGGACCCTACCCGGGCGGCGGACTGGCGCGCGCCTTACCTGGCCAGCGGCGGCGGGGGCGGCGGGAGGACGGACGGGAGGATCGATGGGAGGATCGAGAGCCACTCCGGCGGCGGCGCGGGGGATTGAGGGAGGCGCGGCGGAGGAGGAGCTCGGGAGCCGCGGGCGGGCGGGCCGCTTTGTCTCCACGGCGCACAGCCGACCCTACGTCACCATGGCAACCGCCAGGGCCGGGGCCGGCCGGGAGTCTGAACCCCCGCGGCACCAGGGTCCGGGACCCTCACGGCCCACGCCCTTCTTCTCAGCAGTTGGGCTGTATGGAGAAGACAAGGACCCCCCACCCCACCCCACCCCGAGCCACCGCCAGCGGAGACACTCCCGGACTCTCTCGAGTCCCTTGCCACAGAGACAGGAAGGCTCCAGAGAGCCCTCAGCCCGGAGGCAGATCTTATTGCAGCGCACGCACTGCTTTGCCTTCTCACTATGGACGTTCCAAAGCCCTAAGGTCCCCCTTCGCCGGCACGCCTTTCTCCTACGGAGCTGTGCCCTCAAAAAGGAAATTAGCTTAAGGGAGGAGAAAGGATGATACAAAGTGATAAACTATTGAGCAACTGGTACCCGGAGCTCCCATTCCGGCTGCCGCAGCAGGCGCCAAGCTGCCAACAGAGAACGACACCCCTCTTCCTCCTCCTCCCTTCATCTCCACCACCATCATCACCACTACCAGCGAGCTTTGCCTCCTCTGGATCTCCTGGTCTCCCACCAATCAAGCCAGACCCCTGGCTTGCCGGGGGCTTCCATAGGAAGGGAAAGGGGCCCTTCACTTCCGATTACAAACACAGAGTGCTAAACCACAACTTTCACACACGGGCCGCAGAGTGAATCTGAGATGCCACCACGTTGCTTGGGGATTGGTTCTGAAGCATCTACCGTGGACACCAAGTAACTGTGCCACCGACTGACCGTGGCACTTAGAAAAAGGAACTGGGCTCCTTCGGCACAGTCTAGGCATCCTCCGCCTGAGGAAATTTTTGGAGGAAGAGGGAAAAGTACTAGCAGGCCTTGGGGTCATGCTTCCTTTAAAGGACAGAGCTGGAGAGCAGCTCCCCTGGGTGAGTCATCCCTCCGTACTGTTTTCTTGAAAGTTCAGAGACTGAATCCAAATTCTACAGAATCTTCCTTCCCACCTCTGTGAGCAGGGCACTTATTTCCTGGCATTTGTGAATCACCAAAGGAGTATCAATAACACACTTTCCCCCTGGAGAGCTATCGTCTTATGGGCTGAAAAGGGCACACCAAAACAATGGTATTACCAATCGAGGCCGTGTGTACTAACTAATGAAAATGGAAGGTCCATGTGACGTAATAAAATGAAAACATTTCATTCCTAAGGGCGCTTGGCTACTGTTTTTTGTTTGTTTGTTTGTTGTGGGAAGATCAGTGCTTCCAGATGAAGTAAAAAGAAATAAATTTTTCGAACTAGCCATTAGGTCATTTGGAGACAAGTATCAAAACTCAAAGCGCATGTTCGTTTACTCCCACAGATCTGAATCTAAGAAATGTTACACAGCAACTCGGAAATGTGTAATGAGATCCATGCCAGATCGGACAGCCCGAACTCTCCTACCAACAAAAATTTAAAACAACTTGTATGCTGACCAACAGTGATCTGGTCAATTTTTGGTACAGTTGCACTTGTAATACTATGTACCCACCAAACATAATAAACCATACAATAAATTACATACTCAGTTTCCCATAGACAGAACAATGCTATGCCTGCACCCTCGCACCATAGTTTATGTGAGATTGTTTTGCTGCTGTTACTATGAGTGACTATATTACTCTGCTTCCAGTCATCAAAACCCTCAAAGAAAAATGTGTGCATAGGGTGAACCTTTCTGCACAGACTTTCTCCGCAGCTATCCAGAACAGACAGTGTTGTGGTTGCGGTAAAGGTTCCCACCCACCTCTCCACGAAAACCCCTTGGAAGAAGGTTGGTCTACAAAGCAAAGGCATTGAGAGATTTCAGGACCTTTAAGAGTCGAGGCCTAACTGGCAGACGACTGGTCATGACTGCCCTTCACAGAGGGATTGATGCCCCTGCAGGGCAGACCCAGCAGGAGTGGATTAGAGTGTAGCTCTTGCGTCCTGTCTCACTGTAGCGTGTCATCTCTCTTGCACGTGCTCTTGCCAGAAACTAGTGCCAGCACCGCACTCGGCAAAACCTTAGACCCAAATAAACCTCTTTTCTTTGTAAAGTTCCCAGCCTTGGATATTTTGTTATGGCGATACAAAATGAGCTAAGACAGACAAGTGAACAAGAGGAAGAGAGAAAAGACAGGAGACTGGGCAGGAAGGGGCGGTGCGTGAGAGCAGGAAGGGAACAGGAGTAGGGGCCTAAAAACTAGAGTAAGCATTGAAAGAATTGATGCTATCAAACACAATTCAGCATTGTTTAGATTCTTGGTGGTTGTTTCGCTAAATGAGCATTCATTAATTGTCAAAGAATTCAAAACAGAGATTCTTTATAAACTCATAAATATCAAAAACATTCTTGAGCCAATAAAATATTGCCTTGACGGGAGACTGAATATTCATGAACCTATATATTATTGTCTTGATTGGAGCGTAAATACAGAAGAAAGAAGAGTCATGTAGAGGCCAATGCTACCTTCAGATAGCAGGCATTTAGAAGTATCTGCACTGGATCCCTGCTTAGAGACTTCCTGAGGAACCTGGTTCTGCCTTCAGGCGTGAGAGAGTCTTCCAGCCTAGGCTTCCTTTTCCTCTGGTGTCCTTAAGACATGTACAGGAGCCATGTAAGACAGGTATACAAATTAATCAAACATTTACTAATTATAAATTGCAACTAATTTTCAAAAATAATTCTTTAATATATGTAATTTTCCTTTTATTAGAGACAAAAGCAAAGTTATATACTAATGAGATGGATGTGCTTTTTTTTCATAAAGAATTAAATCTCACCTGAATGCCATAAGAAGTGGCACTTCTTTAATGTTGTTCCGAGTTGACTGGTATTTTCTTTTTATAACCATCGGTATTGAGAACACCACCTCACAGAAACGCGTAACACTAAACAGCAGAAGTATGTTCAGAGCCATTTCAGAAATGGTCATAAATTCGTTCTGTCTTACTCCCAAGCCAAAATTCACTGGGTGACATTTTTAATGAATTCAAATAGCAAAGAGCAATTTTAAACTCAAACATCCACATCCTGGCAGGATACAACCTCAACTCATGCTTATCCTAAACTCACATGCTAAGGGATGACATCAGGGAAATATCTGAAGTCTCTGTCTTCGCTGTTGAAATCACTATGTTTCTAGAGGAGCAGAGAATCTTGTTAATAGCATGCAATCGTTTCGAATCCAAGCTGAGCAGTCTTTGTTGGCACAGTGTTCGCAGAGCCAAGGCTGCGGTGGTATTGGTATATTGAGATGGTGGTGCCAGCAACACCTTGGATTCGTTCGGGGCTTCGTTTTGAATTAAGTTTTGGTAATTAGCACTTCAGAGCCTTTTACTGTGACCCTTCCCTTCAGTTACAGGGTCATAGTATAGTTTAAGAACCTTTGGTCTAGATGTTCATATTTATCTGGGAGACTTAGCTTTATCCTAAGCTCTGCCTCCATTCCATCTCTTTGACCAAATTAAAAAGTTGTGAGGAAATTATCATTCCACACTGTGCCTGCTTTCCTGCTGGGCGGGAAAGGGGGTAGCTTTAATCCAGTTATCCAACCTGAAAGTGAAGGGACGTCGATAGGACATTAAAATGATTCTTCGGGATTGGAGAGACAGCGAAGCCATTAAGAGCACTTGCTGCTATTCCAGAGGACCTGAGTTCAGTTCCCACCACCCACATCTGGCGGACGACAACCACCATCAGAGGCCAGAAGGGCATCTGATGCTCTCTTCTGGCCTCCCTGGGCACACATACACAGCATTTATACACACATATATATATATACATACACGCCCATAAAAATAAATCTTTATATGTGTGCTGTGACTGCTGGGATGGCTGGTTGTCAACTGGACCACACCTGGAATCCCAAGCAGCAGGGAACTCCTGTGAGGAATCCTCTTGGTGGGATTATCCAAAGCAGAAAGGCCCACCGTAAGTACTAGCCGCACCTTTGGGGGGTGGGAGTGAGGGGACAGCTGAGAGGAAGATGCACAGCAGAAGGAAACTTTGCCTTTTCCTACTTGCCCTCATTCTCACCGGAAAGTTCGTCCACGCTGCTGCTGATGCATCCCTTCACTGATGGGATTTCAGTGTAAACGAAGACCAGCAGCTCTCTAGGAATCGTCCACACCTTCAGCACCAGCCTGGGACTGCTGAAACAGCATGCTGGGTTTGGGCAGGATTCTCATCCTCGTCAGTGTGAGTCCAACAGCTACTGCTGGACTACCCAGATCACGCCCTGTAAGCCGCTCTAATAAATCCCCTTCTAACATACATGTTATATTTTAATGTGTGTATGTTCCCTCTGTCAGTTCTGTTCCTTTAGACTAATACAACCAGTACAACTGGTCTTTCATATTCTCGAGAGTTTTTTTTTTTTTAATGAGATTAAGTAATAAGTTCACCTTCCTAAAGTGATCCTCGGAAGTGTACCAGCCCATACAGCAGCCACTAGCCACTAGCTCATCCAAACTGACACGCCAAGAAAGTGAAAAATGCCAAGTCTTCAAGACTTAGAACAATACCAGTTTTTAAGTACTAGGTCATTAATAATGTTTATGCATGTTATATATTGAAATAATGTTTTAGATGTGTATGAGTAAATAAAATATATCATTAAAATTATAACACGTTTCTTTTCTGCTTTAAACATGCTTGTTAACTTTTTAAATTTTATCTATGTGGCATATTGGATGCCATTTAAAAATTAATGTTTATGATTAAATATTCAAAAATCCAAAGTCTATTAATTAATTAAGGTCTTCTTAATCCTTACATGAAGAAGTTTGCCTTGGGAGGTTGAGGCAGGAAGATTGCCACAAATCTGAGAGCAGCCCAGGGTATAAAGTGAGTTCCAAGCCAACCTGGGCTACATACAGAGAT